CGAAAACGTGCTCGAAATTGCGAAATAATAGAAATCAGAACTCAGAATAATCCAGCAACAGCACAGGTATATGGGTTGGGTTGCCGGTTGGCTACCCATCACGCCCATCACCGATAGCAGCAAACGTGTATCACAGTCAGTCACAGTCCCAGTCACACCACAGTTACAGAGTGAGACAGTGAACGAGAAACCGTCACCGTTAATCACTGATACTAGACGCCTTGGAGTATCAGTTACTACAGTGATTTTCAAGTATCAGTGAAAAATATCAGTGACGTGATTTCATTAGTAAATCCTGAAGGATTTAGTTTTATATTTACAGTCCAACCTCAGTATAACGAATCTGAAGGGACCGAACTGAATATTCCTTATATCAAGGGTTTCGTTAAAACAAGGTTCGTTATATAGAGGTTATGTTTGCAGGAATTTCGCTAAGTCGAGGTTCAGAACCAGCGTCGGTCAATATAGGTCGGGATTAGACATCATTAAAACACAATTAAAGTAGCATAGGCCACAATAATTTACAGTACAGTGTTTACATTGTACAGTAGAACCTAAATTATCCGGCATAATAAAGGGGAGGGATCTTGAATATTGCGCAATCATGACAATGGCATTGACCTTGGTACAGGTTAAAAAACTGTAAGTATAAAATCACAGCTTGTTCTAACCCTCCTAAAACCTAGCCAAACACTGTATTGCGTAGTCATAAGCCATGTAAAGAACAAAACAAAACAGTAGTAGAAAGTTTTGTAAGCTACTGCTCGTGATAGGCCGGTAGGCTACTTACAGTACATGTGTGAATAATATTTCAAGCTTCTATGTAGACTATAATGAATTAAAAACTAAAATTGTTAAAACTACTTGGAATGATGTGTTTGAAACATTAGATGTTAATTATGCTTATGATATGTTTTATGCCAAACTTTTAACTTTGATTGATAGCTGTACAATTTCTCGAATTAAGCATTTAAAAAATAAAAAAATGCTTAAACCTTGGATGAATGCTGGTTTGCTCAAGGCTTTTACTGTTAGAGATAAATTATACAAGTTACACAAAAGAAATCCATCCCAAAAAAATAGAGATAAATTTGTTAGTTATCAGAACAAAATAAGAGATTGGATTAAGGTTGCTAAGTTTACATATTACAGTAAATTGTTTCATGACAATTTTAAGGATAGTAGGAAGCAATGGCGAGTAATAAACAGTATTATAAAAGGTCAAGGTTCAAAGCATTCTGATATATTGCTTAAGAAAGAGGGTTCTCTTATTAGTAGTGATAGAGATGTAGCCAATATTTTTAATGAATATTTCATTCAAGTTCCTGAAACAGTTGCTGCCTCATGTCAAGATCCCTCTCCTCAGTGTCAGTTAGTCTATTCCCAATTTTTTAAGACAGTGAATAGCTTAAATTCTATTTTTTTTAGTCCCATCACTGAGCATGAAGTTGCAAAATTAATTAGTACTCTTTCCCCTCACAAAAGTACAGGTGATGAGTTCCTTTCTGCAGCTATTATTCGAAATATATGTGACGAGATCACTCCAGTTTTAACAGAATTGTTCAATTTAAGTATTGCTAGCGGTTGTTTCCCTGACATCTTAAAAACTGCCACAGTAGTTCCCATATTTAAGAAAGGAGATAAGTGTAACGAAGAGAACTACCGCCCAATATCACTGCTTCCTGTGCTTTCAAAATTACTAGAAAAATTAGTTAAAAATAGACTCAGTGGATTTTTAGATAACAATAATTTTTTTTCACCAAATCAGTTTGGATTTAGAGAAGGCCTTAGTACAGAGTTAGCACTTCAACACTTTTTGACAAATATTTACGGAAACTTAAATAGCACAACTCATAATAAAACAGCTGGTTTGTTCTTAGATATTAGTAAGGCATTTGATACTATCGATCATGTTTTGCTCTTGAACAAACTAGAATCAGCAGGGATAAGAGGTGTACCACTTTCATGGTTTGGGTCATATCTTTCTGGGAGGAGGCAGCTGGTTAAAATTAAGAAGAGCAAAAGTAGTATCCAAAGTATTAACTTCGGTGTTCCCCAAGGATCAGTCCTTGGTCCTATTTTATTTTTAATTTTTGTCAACGACTTGTGCAGTGGTCTTTTGAATGGACGCCTAACAGCGTTTGCTGATGATACAGCATTGTCATACTGTGCAAGCACTTTGGATGAGCTTCATCACATAATGCAGGATGATCTACATAAAATATCACTTTGGTTCAGTTGCAACAAACTTTGTCTAAATGTTTCTAAAACAATCTTTATCAATTTTTCTTTATCCCAGTCAAATGTTTTTAATGCACCTTTAATTTTACATAAAACAGATTGTAATAAAACTAGTTGCTTATGTGATTCTATAAAACAATGTAATGTTACCAAATATCTAGGTGTACTTTTGGATGAAAATCTATCATGGAAGATGCATGTAAATAATTTAAAGAATTCATTACGTTACTCACTTAGATCTTTTTTCCACCTCAAATATTGCTGTCCTCTTCCCATCTTAAAACAGGTTTACCACTCTTTAATCAATTCTAAGCTTGAATATGGAATTTCTTTGTATGGAGGTGCCTATGTGTCGAATTTAAAATCTTTAATTACTTTACAGAAGAAATTTGTCAGATTAATATGTAATGTAAATTTTTATTCTCATTCTCTACCTTTATTTGTAAGTCATAATATCCTTCCCTTCAGATATTTATATATTTTTAAAGTATTGACTATATTTTTCAAATTAAGTGGTAATGCAGGACCAACAGTTGATAACATTCACAATTATTCAACTAGACAAACTTCACATAACATTCTACGTTTACCCAAACCAAACTGTACCTTGTTTAAGAAGTGTTTTATTTATTTATCAATTAAAATTTTTAATGTCATTCCTGTTTCTGTAAAGCAGAGTAGGTCATTTAGTGTTTTTAAGAAATCTTTGAAAAAGTGGCTATTAACCAAGTCATATGATGAAATAGAACAGTTGTATTCTTAATAATATTAGTAAGTAATGTCTAGCTCAATGTATTTGCTTTATCTTTGTAAGTATCTGTATTTCAGAGTCTGGGTTTTCATTGTTTCCTTCAATTTCTTAAAATGTTCTCATTATATAGTTACATACTTTTCGTCTTACTTCCTAGATATTGGTGAATTTTTGTTTTCTTTGTTGTCTTTTCCACAAAAGTTATTGGACTAAAGGTAAATTTAATTTATAATTCATTTTGTTACCCTTTTCGGAGAATTTTTTGTTACCGTATTGTTAAGTATTAGTTGAGACTCCCGCCCACACACAGAAGTTTTAATCTTCTTTGGGTGTGTATATTTCTTCACAAGTTAAAGCAAACTGTTTTTATTTAATTAATTAACAATAAGTTTTTATTACATTGTAAAATAATTTGTTTTTATAGATCTTTGTAATTTTATTGTATTACTTGTGGAGAAATAAAGATTTATTATTATTATTATTTATTATTAGTACAGTACTGATTTATCACAACAGAGGAATGTCAATAATAATCATTAACTATAGCATTGGTGTTGCTAGTTGAAACAAATCGTATTGAAAACAATACAGTAAATTATTAGATAAGACATTATAAAAGTGTATAATCATAGCCAACTTAAAGATAATAAAAACACTCGAAAAAGGAATGTTAAAATAACGATGTTGCTATTCTATCTCTTTGGTTTTGTTTTTATATTCTTTCTTAGGTTTCTCTTCATCCAAAAATTTTACAATTCACCATAGTTACTTATCGCCCAATCACAGCTTACTAAACACTACGTCGTCATCAGTCCTCAGTGAATGAAATCAGTTCTCAGTTGCAACATAGCGCGCGCAGCGAAAGCAGACAGACAGAGATGTGTAAAACCACGTAAAACGGAGCAGACGAATGTTAGCGCAAGCGATGACGTCACCTTTCCATTTCATTTGATAAAGAAACAGATTTTTCAAAAACAATAATGGGGTGGGGGATTTGTTATATCGAGGGAAAGACGTAGACAATTCGTTATGCAGAGGTTAAATTCGCAATGTAGAGGTTCTGACAATGATAAATTCGCTATATTGAGTTGTCTTATTTCAGCCGAAATCACGAAAAGTTCGTTAAATCAAGGTCGTTGTTATGGTTTGTTTGTTATGTAGAGGTAAAATATACATTGTGTCTTATGGAGAGTTCTAGGGGATTTAAAAAAATTCGTTATATCAAGGAATTCGTTGTATCGAGGTTCGTTATATCAAGGTTAGACTGTATATATATTTTATATTATTATTTTTATATTATTTAGTTTTTATTTTAGGAATTAGTGTAAATCCTGACGATGTTGGAGTTAAAGAACCACGAAAACATATGTAGCAAGTAAAATTCGACACTGGCATGTTAAGGATTGTATGACAAGGTGCGTTTTTACCATTCTTAGAAGCAATATTAATTACGGACGGCAAAATGTTGTTGGTGTTGATAGTGAGCTACTTAGAAACACTTTTTCGGGCTGCTTATACAAAATTATACATTCATTATGACAGCTAGCAAAAAAATATCCCCCCAAAATCCCCTCAAAAATAGTCCCCCCCAAAAATTCCTGTGGCGCAAACGCGCCACAGTACCCACCCTCTGGGTACCTCTGCTTGTTCGAATAAATGTAGGTTTACACGTTTATACCAAATTTAATCAAAATCGGATCATTTTTGCTCGAGTTATCGTGCGGACACATATATATATATATATACGAATTTGAACGGTTGGTGTTTTTGGCCTCTAGGGAGGGACCTCAAAACGAAAACAAAAATCGGTCCCGCGTCCAGGTCTTACCATGAGTACTACGGTAATAGCTTATTCCCTATATGGGAAATTCGCTAAAAGTAGTAAGAACTTGCTTGTTATCTCTGCTATTTAAAAAAAGACTAGGTAATAGCTAGAATATCTGTGAACAAAAGACGGTTGTGGATCCTTCTAAGTTTGTATTTGTATACTATTCTAACTTGTTCTAACCTCTTTGATCTCTTGTGGAACAAGTTTGCTGACAGGCTGACTCTTGGCTGGTCCCATCAGAACGTCCAGGAAGGCTCGTTTGTCCAAAGACTTCATTACTTTGTCCTTCTTGTGCTCCAAAGGTCCTGCATCTTCTAGATCCTTTTCTAAAGTCTTTTGATGTTCTTTAACTGCATTAAATAGTTGCACCACTCCTCTTATAAAACAATTTCAAAACATGTTAGGAATTATATATTAATATAAACCCACGTTAATATAAACTAAGTTTGTTCAGCTTCTGGAAAATGCCGAGATTTAAAACAGTGCAATTTTAACTGTTTTCTTCTATGGACACATTATGAAGTAGTGCATATTGTATACTTAAAAACATCATTAGGATCTAATTAAAATAACATCATGACAACCTTCACTAAAATCTCCGTTTGATTGAGCGAAGCGAAGCAAAGCTCTTTGGAATCAACTTCAATGCAATCTTTAAAACACTTAATCTCAATAACGGCTGAAGATATTTTAGCCAAACTAGTTTTCATATTTTAACATTAGTCTTAAGGGTTGCAATGATGGTTACAAAATAACTACGTAAATGTAAACAAAACAAATAATCATAGCATATGTTCAAATCAAGCCACGACCTAAACACAGTACAAAGGAAAAATTTGGATGATGACAACTGATCAAAAAATACAGAGAAAGTCTTACATTTAAGTCGCAATTTGCCAATTTGGAAACGACCACTGATCAAATAGGTGCAGTCGTCGATAAAACATACTTTCTTAGGAACGGTATTTAACAGATTTGATTTACGTAGCTAAATAAGGTTATAACAAAAAACATTTTATCTTAAACAATGTGAATCACATTAATGGATCCATCTCAGAAATAAAAAACATAAACCGGTCCGCGACGATGAAGTAAGTAGTAAAGGCGAGAAGTGCGGAGTGCGGGAAACATTTGTGGCAGTTAGATAATCTACTGTAAGCGCACGACTTGTTTGCACATGGCCCCTCCACCGCCTCCTTAGCCAGGAGGGACCCCCACCACAGCTGGGCGCTTGGCGATCTGCTACTAGTCGCCCTAAAAATGTTGTCTATACTACTTCTACTCCCAGCGGATGCGTAACACCAACACACGGCACCTGTTGGTCTTATAATATTTCCAGCGACTTATTGTACATAATATGAAAATAAGCAAAAGTGTCCATAATTATTTGTACTAAGCCTTATGGTTTTCTGTTTATAGGTATATCTGTATGTGTTTTTACATAAAATACTATATCTTAAGATATCGCCTATAAACTCTAACTATAAAAGTTAATAATTTACACCTTATAAGTCAAACTTTACAATTAAATTGGAATATAGGCCTACTATGATTTTACCGTTTGGTGTACAATGTACATTTAAATAAGTAAAAACATAGTTATATCAAAATAAAATACTCTACTACAGTACCAAAACAATAATATAGAACTCTTAGTAATTACATTGTATGGTACTTAAATTAAATTAAAATTTAATTTCTAAAAAAATGTACGAAAAAAAGGAAAAACGACGCGAACAGCGCTGGTTGAATGTATTTAGAAAGCGTGGTCCGACCAATGCTACGGAAACTTTGGCTGCGCGGTGGGAGATTGGTACCGCTCTCCCCCCCGCACACCCGGCTCGCAAACAAGTTGTACGCTTACAGTATATTTATAAAAGAGGAAGTTTGTATGTATATATATTTGAACGTTATAGACTCCGAAACCGCTCGACAGATTGTAATGAAACTTTCAAGCATTATTAAGGATTATTCAAGGATGGTTTGTGTGAAGTTTGGTGCAGATCCGTCAAAAGGGCTCCGCCTCAGTGGCTCTGGAGTTTCCCATGTTAACCTTATGAGTACCCATATTTAAATGGAATTAAAGAATCTTAACAGCTGTTTCAACTAAACAATTTGATTCTGTGATTTAGCTAATGTCAACCAAGTAGCTGTGATACAAAATTAAAACTCATACGTAACAGAGAGTATTGCTGCTCTGTATCAATGAATGAAAGTATTTAAATTACATATTTTAGTTTGAATGTGGTAAAAAAGAAAAATTAGAATCTAGGTTGTTTATTTAGTGAAAAATGAATTGCAACATAGGTACCACAATATGTCTTCAACTAAAAATATACAAACATAATGTTTTTGGTTGCATTTATCGTATTGTAAGTACGATGAATGTGGAAATAGATGGACTTTACATATTTTCTTTGTTAATTTGATAATCTATACTATTATATAACAATCTCATGGTGTCCGTATATATGTGTGTTATTCAACATAGTAAAAACTACTAGACAGACTGTGCTTAAATTTTACAAATTATAGCTACTATACCAAGAATGGTAATACAGTAGGACTACCTTATTGCCACTTCAATATTTGTAGAGACTTTGGGATTTGTAGAGACTAATATCCAACAATTTGTTAAAATAAAATAATTTTAAATTTTAAATAGAAATATTATGTTTTAGCCTACCTGAGGAAACCATAAGTTAGCGACAACAAAATTTTAAGTTTTCATTTTGAAGGCATACTGACTAAATAATTTATTTAAAATTACCGCTATAATGTGGGAGGTTGGATAAAGCAAGGAGTTGGACTAGTCAAGGTCGGATTAGTGGGGCTCTATTGGATGAAATAAAGCTTGGAAATTTTGTTTAAAATGATAATAACATATTTCAAACTAAGTTAATCAAACTACTGTAAATGATGGAAAACATTTTTTTTATTGTGCTTGTTAGTTAGTTGTCAGAGCTATAAATAAATACCAACTTATATTTTATAGTACAAAAGAATGATTTAACAACTGGTAGAGCACTAGACTAGAAAGTTTAAAAAGCTATTGGATAACTGGGTAGGGTACTAAACTAAAAATTTAAGTACTCACCTTGTTGCAATTTTTGCCAATGCTTTTTCCCTATCCTTCTCCAAAACGGATGGTTTAACATATCCTTTAGAAGCCCACTCTTTTTTCTAAAAAAAAATTAAAGAAATTATTAAGGAAATGTTTGTCAAAGTACACCACAGTAGAATTAGGTTGCTTTCAAATCATTTAACACTTTAAGAACCAAGCCTATTTTCATATTTCTCGGTTAATATTATGTTTAAGGTTATTTCCTTTTATGTAATTTATAGTATATTTATTTTAAAACAATATGTCCATATTTAACTAAAATAAAAGCAAAAAAAGAAAAATCTGTTTCTTCCCCCTCTAAAGAAGCAAAACAGGTGTTTTGTGCAATCCCTATTAAACTCAATAATTCCGTCAACTTCCACCCAAGCCAGACACTGTTTATTTAAGGTGGGCCTCTAAGCCACATATTATCGAGCTTAGTATGGATTGAACATGGGATTCACAACCGCGCATGTAGAATGAATTCAACGCTACACTCGTCAGTGTAACGCCTCTTGCTTATGGTTTGTTCCTAAAGAATGATTGAAGCATTTTTTGAAGGTTCAAAGGAGAACCCATAAGTAACGTTCATATCTGACTGAGGCATCATGCTTGTTGTGGAAAACAACAAACAAACTACGTGTCACGCTGCACGCAACTTTAATGTACAGAGCTTGTACATTAAAGTACATAAACATTTCATTTTTAAGAAGTCAAGGACATGCTGCATAATTTTTCACCCACCCTGTATAGTTTGTTTCGCAAGAGAAAAACAAAACAAAAGGATGCACAGTAGCAAAAGATGGTAGTGTGCATGAGCAGGAAATCCTAAAATTCAAACCAATTTTTTATTATACATAAATTAAATTCTAAATTGCATAGCACTAAAGAAAATTTGTTGGATGAAGTAAAATTTATACATAATTACGATACAAGGAATGAATATAATTTCAGATTACCACATCACGAGTTGACAATATTTAAGAACATGAGATGACTCGAGTGGAATATTTGAATAGAAAAAGACATAGTGTTAAAATAAAAGTAAACTGTGTTGTACAGAGTGAGGCAGTGAAAGCATCCTGATTTTCTTTTGTTGTCACATTATAAGTAAAGCAACAATGAATGAACAGCTGTGTTTAAAAAACATCAATCAAACTATGCCATTTTAGTAAACATTGTGCCTGAGGCTTGTAACACTGAGATTTTGATGAAGAAACCGATTTTTAAAATAGTGATTCTTGTGCAAACAAACAGAGATTGTTTGGACCACATTCCATACTTGGTCAATATGGCGCTGTTCCGGATTGGAAAACAATAGGGAACTCGGTAAAATTATTTAGGATAACAGCTTAAACCATAAAAATAATCTATGGGTCCCGCAAAACTCTTTGTACACCAGCAAATGTTGAAAGAGTATGAGTCGCAGTAGGTCCAAAGAGATTTGCCAGAATGCTTTCGTTGTTGGAAGCTTTAAGTTAGCTCTTTGCTTTCTTTGGGGGTTCTCCCTAAAAGTTACTTGAAGTATAAGGTTTTTCAAAGTTGCCCTAGAGATTTTCTTAAATTTCCAAGAAACTAAAAAGATTCCGGAAGAAATGCTGGAAGGAGTATTCAATGGCATCTTCAAGTGACTGAAAAGGAATGTCAAGTAGGACAAGGACGTCAGTGGCGTAACAGAAGGGCCTGCAGGGCCCGCAATGCGTGGGGGCCTGGGGGCTGTGGGGGCCCGTGAAATGTGGTGGTACACAGGGTAAGTGTACGCCCCCCTCTAAATCCCCAAAATTGACTTTTAGGAATATAGAAATGTTATTTTTGAATTCCCCTTAAAAAAACAAGTCAGACCACCAAATTTCAGTTAGTTATCTTTGTATTTCAATTTTTAGTAATTTTTTACATTTTCTGAGCGGCACTTGTGTTTTGAGTAGAAACGTAAGAGCTTCTTAAACACGTCTTAACTCATAGAAATCATAGCATGAGAATTTTTTTGTGATTAGAATATAAAAGAGCATAATTTGAAATACCTTTGGCCAAGTTTTCAAATTTTTTATTAATAAACAAATTTATTATTAGCCGGAAGTCCCCCCCACTTGCCCCGGGCGTACACTTACCCCACTTGACCTTAACTACAAATATATTCAAATTAATGCCATGATTTGCATTTTTACATTGAAATACAACATGCACAATCGTGATATTTAGGTCCAGAAAGTCGTATACTATTAGCTATTAGGATTTTTAGGTGTTGGACTATGTGGTGGGTTAATTGACCTTTATTATGTATCTGGTTGTGTATTTTCAGAAGAGAAGGGTAATTATAAATTATTGTAGTTGAAAACATTATTTTGTAAACCTATAAAACATTAGATAACTCATAAAGATAAAAACATACAACATCATTATTTTTTCAATCATTCTTTCTTGGGTTTCCCTTCAGTCACACATTCAACAAGTTGCCATGGTTACTAATCACCCCGCTAGAGACTACCAAGCATTATGTAGCTCATCAGCAAACTTTTATATTTATGAATTTTATATTTTACTATCTGTTGTACCTCGGGATGAAATAGAAAAATTTAATATTTACATTATTATGTTGTATAAAATATTTAGACATCCGCCAACACTTTTAGAAATACAATTCAACCATACCACTTTATTTGATAAAGGTTTATGGCTTTTAAATCACATAAGTAGTTTAAACCGCCATTTTTGTTTAGATTAATTTTAAATTTAGTGTTTGATAATATAAAAAAATCTTACCAAATTTGCCAATAACATCTCTCCTAAATAATAAGGTCTAGGCCTGGGTCTTTTGGTTCTTTGGAAAAGCCTTAAAATATACTAAGAAAATTGAATTGAGCCTCAGATAAAAGGAACACCCAGTTATTGTATTTATAGTCCTAGTGAGAAATAATTTACCAGTAGCCTAGGTAGTTATTGAAACTATCTTATCAAACTGTTGTTTCAAACATAATATTTATTCCTAAAAATTTTAAATTAATTTTTAAAACCTCTTTATTTTGGCTATGCCCTTATCTTAGTAATAACATAAGTAGTCATCTTAACTGTGTTTCTTTCTTGACACAATCCTGTTTTGAGTAAAGGTTTTAATAATGTATGGACTGTATTATTGTCGTTAGAAAACCATGAATGTACGATACTATCCATTTTCATAGTAATGTCAATGTATTAAAATTTAAAATATTGGTTTATATACAATTCTGAGAAGAAAATGGAAAAATTAATGGTAGCCCCGTACCGTACCGTAAACCATAAACCATTTATGGTACAAAATATTGTACCGTACCTAACCGTACCGACCTTAAATTTTCTCTACCGCAGATCCCTAGTTTTTACAGTACATTTAACTGGAACGCCTGTTGCCTATTATCAAAATAAACTCATAGCTTGAAGTTTATGTACATGCCAAACTAAATTCAATGCGATTGTTGGATTGTGTTTAATTAGTTGGATCGTGACAATGGTTTGGGACAATCGAGTGGTTGGTACAATCACGAACGATGTCCGATCAATATCTACAGTCTCGGCACGGCGATTATAGGAAAAGTGCTCATTGCCTAGGTGACTCAATGTTAGTAAACATGCTTTACATAAACATGTGCGAGCTGGTTTTTCAATCACAAAACTGTACAGTGAGGATCTTTTAAGCGGCCTTACCTTTAGCTTTCTAGTTTCATTTTCTTCTTTGACAACATCTAAACGAATACCAGTTACATCTGGTTTCATATCATTCTCAATATCAAAATCAACGTTCTCTTCTTTTGAGACTTTTGTTTGGTTTGCTCGCTTTGCTCTAGAAAGAACAATTGTCTTTCTTCTCTTTGGTTTATTAGTTTTAAGAATTTTTGACATTGCATCTGCCCAAGCGGAATTTTCATGAAACTTTCTGCTATTGAAATCTTTATCTTGAACTGCTTCCTCATCATCCATGATGTCTTCTTCATGTTCGCTCATTTGATCTCCTGATGATCGTGAATCAGAGCAGCTCCCTTCCATATCAGACATTTCTTCATTGCCCATTATTTATATATCTGTAAGAAAGTAAAAGAATAAGAATCTTTATTACCCTTTTAACATGTTACATTGCAATGGGGTTTGTCATTATTGCTACATAGCTGCAAAAGTAGAACTACACAAAAAACTTACTATATTCAAAAAATAAAAGTGGTTAGAGGAGAAGTCACCCCACTACTTTTAAGCTTAATAGATGAGTAAACGAAGTGAATGAATCTATGTATCATGTATAGCGGAGTCAGAGATTAGTTAGCCTATCTGTTGTGAGTCACTGTGTCCCTGTGTGTTAGGTTCGTGAAAACTCAAGAACCATTGCACTAATATATATAGCATTCAAATTTTGCACAAATAACAATTATAACACCACTGGCAAGATCCCATTAAAATTCTAGACGATTCCGCTCAGTAGTACAGTAATTATAAAATCCTAAAAATTGCATTTTTAAATTTGTCCCAAAAGAATAACATTAGAAGCTACCTTCTTCTTTTTATTTGTTTACATTTTACAACCAACAATTTTTTAGTTTAGGCTACTTTAGAGAAAGAGAATGACTTTTCCTTTAAAACAAAATGCAGGTATAAAATATAAAGTTAGAAATGACCTTAAAAAGTTTAACGAAGATTTTTATTTTGAATGTTCCATCATTGAAATTCTAAATTTTGTTGAGCCTACAATAATTGTATCTTTATATAGAGTACCATATAAATTCACATTAGCTAGTTTTTTAAAAAATATGCAGTTTTTATTAAATAAGTTGAAAGGGAGGAAAAGGTTAAATGTATTGATAGCTACTGATTGTAATATAAATGTATTAGATAATAAGGCTTCTGATGGATTTTTAAATGTTTTACATTTTAATGGTTTCAAAGTCAATGTTATGGAGGTAACAAGACCTAGTAGTGGAACTTGCATTGATAATATTATAACTAATGAGAAACATCAGATAGAGAGAATTCATGTTGAGGATATAGGTCTTTCTGATCATAGTGCAATATGGGCCACATTACCCAGATTTAAGGATAAGTTAAAAATTAAAGAACAAACCTTTAAAAGATATTTTACTTCAAGTAAAAAAGCTGAATTTAAGAGTAAAATAAAAAACTTGAAATGGAAGGTAGAGCTTGGGAAAAGTATGAACGATAATTACAACAATTTTTTAAACGATTTCATATTGACCATGAATGAAGTGTTTCCACCTAGACCTAGGAGGGTAAAAAATAAAAAAGAAATACAGTGGGTGACAGAGGGGATAAAAGTTTCAAGTATGAACAAACGGCGTCTCCACAGAGAGGCTAAGGAGAGTGGGTGTGCCGAGGCGGAAAGTTATTACAGAAATTATAGAAAGATATTCAAAAAAGTTGTTAGAGCAGCAAAGCGAAGGGCAAATGGTAAGTACATCACACAAGCGAAGTGTAAAAGTCAAGCATCTTGGAAAGTAATTAAGAATGAGCTAGGAATGAATACAAGGAAAAAGAGCGTTTTGACAGAAGTACTAATTGACGGATCCATAGTAAAAGACCCCAAAGTTATTCCAGATTATTTTAATGATCATTATCTCAACATTAGGAAAAAACTGAATATTAAAAGTTCACCAGAAAAAGCAGTTGACAGTTGCAAAACAGGGATAAACCTAGAAAGTTTGTTTTTTGAATTCAGTGAAGTAAATGTTCATGAAATTTTAAAGATTATACAATCACTACCAAATAAAAAATCTACTGGTTGGGACGAGATTCCTGTCACCTTAATCAAAGAGTGTAAAGATTATATAGCTATGCCAATCTGCACATTAATTAATCAGTCACTGTTTACAGGTGATTTTCCATCAAAACTAAAAATATCAATTGTTAGGCCAATTTATAAGAAAGGGGATAAAAACTTGATTGAAAACTATCGTCCAGTCTCATTGTTACCTGTCTTTTCAAAAATATTTGAGAAAGCTGTAAATGTTCAATTACAGGAATATCTAGAGAAAAATAAATTAATAACCAAAAGTCAACATGGTTTTAGAAAATCTCATTCCACCAACTCAGCACTCATCTCTCTAACTGACAATATTTACAGGGCATGGGACAGGTCACAGACCACTGCAGCAATTTGTTGTGACCTGTCAAAGGCTTTTGATTGTGTAGACCATGATGTTCTGTTAAAAAAGCTAGAGGTACATGGAATCAGAGGGTACAGTCTGAAATGGTTTAGATCATATTTAACTAAAAGAATGCAAAAAACATCATTAAGTATAGATAACATGACGTATGAATCAAAATATTGTACTGTAAATTCAGGAGTCCCTCAAGGATCAATTTTAGGCCCAGCTTTGTTTGTAATATATGTTAATGATCTTCCAATGAATATAAAGACAGATATAGTAATGTTTGCAGATGATACTACAGCATTAATTAGAGATAATAGCACAGAAAAAATTAAATTTACAGCAGAGACAATAATAAAAGAGAATTAGAAAATTGGTTTAAAATAAATGGACTGTTGCTGAATGCAGACAAGACAAATATAATTCACTTCAGAAGTATGCAATATAGAGAGGGTGAAATAAAGGTTACAGTTGGCAATGATGATTTGAAGAATCAGAAGTCTGTGAAATTATTAGGGGTAATATGTGATGAAAATCTGAAGTGGCATGAACATATTGTACCATTATGTAAGAGATTAAATAGCATTTGTTTTAATATGAGTTGCCTTACACACTGTATCAGCATGGAAACAAAACTTATTTTGTACTATGGCTATTTTTACCCGCTAGTGAAATATGGAATAACATTATGGGGCGCAACAAATTTAATAAAAAATGTATTGAAAGTACAAAAGAAATGCCTAAGAGCCATGACCCTCAAACAGCCTGGAAGCTCATGTAAAGAAGTATTTAAAAGTTTAAAAATACTTACAGTACCATGTATCTACATTTTTGAGGTTCTGTGTCATGTAAAAAAATAATTTAAATTGGTACTCTATAGAAAAAAATAGCCACAATTACAATACTAGAAACCAGAATTTGCTTATACACCCTCATCATTCTACGACATCTTTAGAAAGAAGTATTCATTACATGGGAATTAAATTGTTCAATAAACTTCCAAATCACTTAAAAAACACAGCAATGAGTCCAGCACAATTTGCAGATAACATTAAGAGTATTTTGATCAGAAAGGCCTATTATAAAGTTGACGATTTTCTAAATGACTCTCAAATGTTATAAGCAGGTCCTGTTACTTCCATAATATTTTATAGGGTAAAAAGTTAAACTAGTTTCTCCATGTTAATCTTGTTGATTTTTAAATGTTGCATATTTTATATATAATATATATATCGTTTTTGTTGTGAAATTTTAATGAAGACCTTGTTATTGACTAAAATTACATGTTTTGTACATTTTTTATGTTTTATTTATAATTCAATTCTATAAATCTTGTTATTTAGTTTTAAGCTTGACGTTATCTTTTTTATTAAACCTTTTGACTAGTCTATTTAAAGAGTTCCTCAAATGTTAAAAAAACTATTTTATTTATTATTAATAAATACATTGTAAAAAAGGACATTATATTAGACTATAAGAAGAATGACGAAGCACCTGTGCATTTATCTAAAACCTCTGTACGTTTATGTGCTAATAAACATGATTTGATTTGATTTGATTTAAGATTATTTATTAAGTTTAATATTAGTCTGGAAGAACTTCAAACAGTATCAGGGACGTCCCATAAGGATCTCTAGGAAATATTTTTATTTCAAGAATCAAGAATCGAGAATCAAGAATTTATTTGCCATTAGATAACACAGTTACAATAGGCTTCGTCAACATATAATTTTTGTATAGAAAGTCAAAGTAAGCATTAAAGTCAACATTAAAATACATGATTTAAAATTCCTCAGTTGAATAAAATGCCTTATCTTTAAGCAACTTACAAATAGTGGTACAAAATTTCTTAAATGGTAACATTTTTATATCTAAAGGCAATTTGTTGTAAAATAAAATCTGATGGTAACTATGACTATTGAAATATTTTTGCAATCTAATACTAGGCCTAGCTATGTGGTCTCTTTGCCTAGTGTTATAGGAATGGACAGATGAGTTTGTATTAAACTTTTCAATATTCTTCTTGACAAAACAAAGATTGTGAAAGATAAACAAACTAGGGAGAGTAAGTATACCAAGATTAGGGAAAAGGTTACGGCATGAGGCCTCTGCATCTAAACCAAACATTGCTCTTATAGCCTTTTTTTGCCAAACAAAGGCGGTTTTGGCAGCAGCTGAATTTCCCCATAATCTGACACCATAGTTGAGATGGGTGTGGAAAAGACCATAATATATCATAATAATTACTTCTGAGCACACACAAGACCTTAACTTTCTTAACAAACAAGTGACACGTGACAATTTTTTACATAAATTATTTACATGTTCCTCCCAACACAGCTTAATGTCTAAATAAATACCAAGAAGTTTTACAGGTTTTAATAAATAATTATCATCTAATACTAGATTTAGCTGACTGCTTAAAGTAAATACAATGTGTTCTGTTTTACTTTCATTAACATTTAATTTGTTTGCTAGAAACCATGATTTTGATTCCTCCATAGCTATTTGTAGTCTGTGTTGAACAGTGAAAAAATCTACATCAGAATGTATCAGGGTGGTGTCATCCGCATACAAAACAGACATCACAGAAACATTTGAACTGTAGTCATTAATAAAAACTAAAAATAAAAAAGGGCATAGCACAGAGCCTTGCTGCACTCCGACTGTAACTTGTAAGTAATCAGAATCATTATTATTACAACTAACCATTTGCTTTCTATTGCTTAAGAGTCTTCATCACCCTAGGTGTAATTCCGTTTTGGGGGGATAGCCTTGGGGGGGAGGTGGTGTGGACGGGCGGGTAGCGCGGGGTCATTATGCGCGCCTTTCTGAAAACATCGTGTAAACAAACTACTACTAAAGACGCGACTCCGCACCTACGCACGCGCAGCGGCGGTCTTATCGATCTTTTACTTCACTAGCTGTGAGCGTGAGGAGCCCTTGTGGCAAGCGCAACTAATATTGTTTGTTAATTTAATATCAATAATATGCGTAACATTGTGCCTTAGCATTATGAATATTTACAAAATAAATACAATGACCTTCAAAACAAGCATTAATTCATTTTGTATTAAAGTTTTATTAGGTTCTGACGTTTGGTTTACATTTTACGAATTTTCAAAGTCATGAGATAAGTAGTTTTTAAATCTCAGAAAGTATTAAATTAGAAAGTAAAATTAATTAGTCTTAAAATACCATGAAATTGTGTATTATTAGAATAATTCGAATTGCTCATTCTAGCTTAAAACAGCAATTACTTAAAAGTTTCATTATTTTGGCATGTGCAGTTGTGAATAAGTTGTCAATAATATGTTTCTCGTGCGTACATAGCTTAGATCACAATTTCTCTAAAGTAATTAGTTATTATGTCAATAGTGTCAACAGATACAATCAAGATAAATTTCAAAGTAGTTTTTTTATAAAAGACCTAGGTAATAATGAATTATGCACCCATCATGGAAAGATAAATTTAATACAACGTAAGCTCAGAACAAATATAAAATAATAATAGTTTGTATGAGTGTGTTTCAATATAAATGTGTTTAGACTGACAACAAATTTGAACTTTACTATTGACAAATTATGATATGCAACCTCAAACAATGTACAAAATGTAGGTTTAATGGATACATTATTGCCTTTGAATTACAATTTATTTAATTTGTATTTAATAATCAAGTCTATGAGACAATAATTTACATTACATAAATTAAAACTATTTACAACAAGCATAAAGAAATGTAGGTTTGATTAATGTACGCCTACAGTTTTTAATCCTTCTTCGATTTTATTGTCTTTGGATGCACATAGTTTGCTGGATTCCTAATAGGCATTGATCTGGTGTGCCGTGGATCGATCAGTTCTGGCAGTAGGCAATCTATATAAAAGGCTTTTAGAGGATTTACCATTTTTTCTTGCCAAAAAGTGTCGTCCCGATCTATAACCTCCACTCGAGCTCCCAAAGGTGTCCACAACACAAAGAAGCACATGCTTCTTTTTGTAATGTGAAGCTGGCCTTGGACTTGGTAAAAATAATTATGATTTTTATTTACACAGCCCACATCACCCGTCTTTGTAACAGTCCAAAAGTTGAATTTTTTTTCTTTTATGGCATCTTCAGGGGTCAAGTTTCTGCAGGATTCTGGACACTTTACTTCTATTATTGCATCATCTCCCACAAGCCCGTCTGGTGTTGCACCGAGATAAGGAATTTCGTTGTCTACAAAGAGTCCACACTTTGAAACAGATAATGCATTGTGCTCTTCAAACCATTCTATAGCGTTAATTTCATTACCCCTTCCGTACCTCATTGCTGGGCAATCAATGTCGGTATATAACAATTGTTTAACCATGTTTTCACAGCTAGTAGTTTTTCGCCTTTTGCAAATACTTCCAAAGTTAGAGGCAGTGAGAAGCTTCCTCCTTTCTTCCTTCCACATTCCACATTCTGATTGCATAACAGTAGCTTTTTCAAGCTCTTCTCTTTCTTCATCTGTTCTTTTAAGGCTTTTGATAAATTCCCTTTTCTTTCTCTCCAGAACGTCTGGTTGTATGTCTGGCTTTTGAGCTAAGGGTCCATAGCTACTTTTCGACATTCTTTTCTCAACAATAGAATTTTTTTTCAAATTGTGTCTCTTTACTTGTGTTTTTCTTTTAAGTGCAGCCTTGCGTATTTTCATTGCTCTTCTATGTTGCATTGATTTTAAGACTTTTCTTGGACTATGTTTTATCATCGATTTGTAGAGGGTGTACAGTGATTGTCCTGTATTATGGGACACAACCGCTGCAGAACATCTAGCCTCATATGACCTGCCCTTAGAGAAGTTGACTCGTTTTCCACCTACTACTTTTGCAACGGCTGAGTTAAAATGCTCAGCTGGATTGTTGCTGTCTTGCAGTATCAAACTTCTGGCATTATCAACCAAAAAGCTTATGTGCTTCATTATCTTCTGATACATTCCACATTGCTTCATGGCAGGAACATAGTTTTTTTCTGACTTTTTCGGTCCTTGGCAAAAATACTTGAGACTCTTGCAATGGAGGTGCTCACCAAAAACATGGCTGGCGGAATTGGTCAAATCTTGCTGCAGAAGCAACACCGTTTTACCACCGACCGTACTACTTTCTTTTTTCCTGTGCTTTGCAGCTTTTGTCACTGCTGATCTTAGGCGTAAAATATTGTTCCTAAGCAATTTCCGCATTTCCAGAGGACCTGATTTTGTATCAGAAGCAATATCACGCAGTTTCGTGCAGTAGTTTCTTAATAGATGATTTGAACATTCAATTTTGTCTACTGTCCAATTATTATATGGTCTCGTGTCCAAAATTTGACTGTACACATTAGAGTCTCCATCAGCCAGAATAGTTCCATACACTGCATTATACATTTCCACACTCCTTTTAAATCCTTCCACAATTATATCTGCTTCCATGCTGGCTGAGCATCCATCCCAGTTTTTGTAGCACCTATGGTCTGTCACTGGGGTCGCACTTGTTTCTGCTCGAGAACAAATGGTACAATATTTGTTTCTAACGCCCAAGAACAACACCTTTTTTGTGTGTGCACCAACAATAGCAGCCTGTACAAAATTAAATAAGATTACAGTTATTATAACAAAGATACAAGTTAAAATTACAAAATTAATCAATAGTTAAAAAGATTTATAGAATTTCTTTGTTCTTTCTTTTGAATTTCCATGTCAAAACACATTCTAAACGGCTACCAGCTTTATTAATTAGATGCTAAATTAAAGTAAAAAAATAATAAATAAAAATAAATAAAGTAAAACGTCACCCGTTAGAAGTAAGGTAAAGAGCAGGTTGTAAAGATCCCTTACACAAAATGGTCAATAAAGTGTAAGATTCTCCATCAAAAGTATTGTTAAAAATGTGCTTGGTTGGAGACTCGAATATTGGCAGTAGTAAGTGAACATGTACTATCTACTTTGATAACAAATATTAATAAACAATGCATCGCGAATATTGGAATTTTTGCGTGGTGAGCTAATCAGATTAGCCTATATAGAAATAAGAGTAAGGTAAAGTGAGGGTAAACTGTGAAAATGTGAGGGTTGTTATTGGTTGTAGTTCTTTTTTTTGATAGAATAAATAGCCTACTTACCACCCCCGACAATGCATTGTAGTTTGTACGGTAGGATCTCTTAGACCAGCTGCCATCCGCGACAACCGTCAAAACCGGAATTCCATCATTAGTAAATCTTCCCTCATCGATCGCATGTTGAATTTCTTCTTTGGCTGCCTTTTCCATTTCCGCCAAAGCCGCAGCTTGCCAACCATCGGAAACTTGGTCATGGTATTTTATGTACGTGTTGGTTGACATAGAGGGAACTTCCATGGCTGATAAAAGCTCCTCCAGCTGAGAATGACCAATGCCAATTGCCATGGTACCTGCTACACTAGCAGTGTTTATGTCCATTATTTCATTGCAATCTCTTTCTGTGCTTAGTTTACAAATGAGATTGCACATATTGCACTTCAATGTAAACACGGATTTTAAACCGAATCTATTTTCTTTGATGCAGTTCATGTTTGATATTGTGCATCCCATCGTGTTGTTGTGGTCATTTATCTTTTTAACCTCTTGAAAAAAATAACTAAAGCCCACTACTCTTCTTCCAACAATATCTAAAGGGGTGATGTCATCTCCGTACTCATCAACTGAGTGAACTCCTTCGTTACTGTCACTGTTGTCAAAACTAATTACATCATTCAACGTTTCATCTGGTTTTGTAGGGACGCTGTACGGTAAACTCCTACGGCTGCGAGGTACGCACGGCGTACTGCTACACAAACTGAAAAATGGAATTAAAATGAATATATACGATTTCGAATTTTTAATTGTAGGCCTACTTGTGTTAAAATTAAAATTATGTAGCCAAAGTGATTAATAATAGATAAGTAGTCAATTTGAATAGATTTTTTACGAAATTCAATTCAATTTCCCATTGTAATTTAAATCAGCGAACTTGCTATGCAAATGAGTTCTTCACATTACTATCACTGTAACAGTTAATCCCGGCACCTGTCATAGAAGCTCACAACTGCCCCTGAACACGCCCTTTTGTTAGCCACTAGTTCTAAACATTCGTTCAATTTTGTTATTTATTTCGTCTAGAAAATTCATTCTATACAAATCCATTCGCATTTGAATTTTAAATTTAGATGTAAGTTTCACAGCAAATTAAGTATGTGGATTTTGTTTACCTATCACTGTACCGCATTTTATGTCAGTATTATAAACATTGTTTGTCAACTATTGTTGACAGTTTAACGTTGTACTTACGGTTGAAATTCAGCAACAGATGTGGAATCTTTAGAACTTCCATTTGTTATCACTGGTATAATTTGTCTAATAGTCAAACTTCTCTCAACTTGCAACCTAAAATTAAAAATTAAAATTGTAATTATTTATGTAGAATAAATAATGCTTAAAAATTATGTTAGTTAGGTTTTTTTCGTCGTCGTTTTTGTTAAGGAAATAATGAACAAAAGAACTGTAAACGTTTTGAATTTCACCTCACAAAGAGTTTACACCCTCAGAATAATTATTATACAGCGATAGCCTACTATTATATTCCATCGATTTTGTACTTACGGTTGTAATTCTGCAACAGAGTTTAAATTGTTGGAATTTTCATCTGTTACTTGGTGTGGCTCGATTTCATTAGCAATCAATTCCCTTCCACCTTGCAACCTAAAAGTTTAAAATAAATTGTTAATATGTGTACAAAATAAACATTATTAAAATCATATTAGATTAAAATTGTCGGTACAAGTTGACCGAATGTTTGTCACCCTCAGACAGCTTATTGTACTATTACTATAATTTAACTTGGTGTCAGGTTGTTATAAGCTATGCTTTCTAAAAAATATTCGAATAACTTTTGCTAGAGGTAGGAATGCATGCTTTACGGGACACTGAAATTTACTTAAGACATGAAAAACACGCCCTGTTTTTATCTTCAATCTAATAATAAATTGATCATATTATACGTACACCTACAAAGTATACAAAAATGCCTCACCTGTTCATACATCTGTCTTGTCGCCATTTTACAAGTCCTGCGTTCACAACTTTTTTCCTCCGCGTTGCACTCAATAAAAGCCTAGATTTCTTGCCGCGCCTTCTTGCCATTTTCTTGCATCAAACAGTGAAAATAATACTAAATCAACACAATATGATGTTGGATATAGAAACAACTATTGTAGTAAGCAACAGGATACCAACACCTCACTCACGTAATGCACGAGTCCTCTAGCGTGGTGTGTGGACAGTGACAGTGGCAGTGGCAGTAGGTGAATAGCGACCACGTGTTGGTGACTCACCTGCGTCTGAGCCAAGTTTTGTAAAAGGCTAGTAGCGCAGTAGCCTCCCTTCGGCAGACCGGCGTTTGGGAGAAAACATGTTAATTTCGTCCCTCGTTTCGGACGCTGTTTTCCAACAGATTTTCTTGAAACTTGGCAACAATTTAGTTGAATAGTTATACTACGTCTCTTATACCTCAAAAATTGAAAATTAAACAAAAAAATAGTTTTATTGAACTTTAAAAGTAACTGAATTTACGTTACTTTTAAGATTTTTTTGTACTTATACTATTGATTTTCTTGGATATATCGTGTATGAGGGACCTAGAACCAACATTAATCTGTAAGGAAAAAAAGTTTTAGCAATATATCTTTACGAATTCCATCAGGAGCGAGGGACGCCCGAGGCATGTTTTCAATGTTTTTCGCAGGGGTGAAGAAGACTCTTAAATAACTTTGGATCAAATTCAACTCTTTATCAACAATACCATAATGCTTTAGCTTATTACACAGAATATTATGCGAGACTGTATCAAAAGCTTTGCTTAGATCCACTAAAACAGAACTTACTACTTGTTTTTTCTCAAAACCATTTAAAACAAAATCCACAATCCTTTCAATCGCATCTGTTGTTGAAAGGTTAGGTCTAAAACCAAATTGAGAAGGATAAAAGAGGCTATTGCTGACAAAATACTCATTAAGTTGGGTTACAATGCATGTCTCAATAATCTTGCTCAATATGGGAACAATCGCTACTGGCCTATAGTTCTCTGGTTGGTTTACATCGCCCTTCTTATAAACAGGTATTACTTTGGTAGCTTTCAAGCAATCAGGAAAACATCCAGTGGCAAGAATTGAATTTACAATAAAAGTCAAAGGCTGCAATATTACATCAACAATGTTCCTCAACAAAAAGTTTGACATTCCATAGACATCTTCTGAACGAGAATTGCTCAGTTTACTAACCACAGACAATATTGTTTGTTCGTCAACTAGTTTTAGATTAAAATTACTATTACTAGAATCTGTTTTCCTAACACAATTCTTCAAATAATCTGAGTAGTCAAGGTTACTCACATCAAGACTATTGTTTTGCTCTGTAGAAGAATGACTAGATACATTAACAAAATATTCATTAAGTTGCTTAAGTTGCTAAGTTGCTGCTATTTTACAGGGCCCACAAAATATTTTTTAACATCAAGCTTCCACTGCCAAAACCTCTGTCTGATATTATTACTTTCCAAGTTCTTCCAACCCAGGGGCAACCAAGATTTGTAAAGAATTCACTATTGAGAGCACTACAAGGAGTTAAATATATTTAAATACAATATTTAAATATATAAGTCAATAGTTTTTTATTTTTCTTTACAGGAGTCAAGTGAGATTCGTGTGCATAGTAGGAGACAAAAGAAGTGACTTGCCCTCGCTACAATGATACTACCTGTATAGATGTCGCAGCTATTTTAAAGCTGAAAACAGAGCACCACCTGGTCAAATTAATCTTTGTTTTTTGTTTTTTTTCAAAAACTATTAGTATAAAACGTGAATCCGTTCTAGATATGTTGTTAAATCAACTCTTATGTTCCCAACCGGAGACTTTGGTTGGGACACCTAATTTAAACACACCCAAAACAGAACAAATCGTGGAAATAATTTAACAATGCTATAGTAGGCATACATGTCGTACTGGTTGGCACCAAGAGAGGGATTTAGCTTGTTAGATTAGGTCTGAAAAGCTCACTTTACAGTGTGTGGTTGACATCACCAAAGCAGTATGAGAACAGATCTGTATTTAAATATTGTACCGTAGATTACTTTTATAATGTTTTACAATATAATATTTTTCACATTTCTATAATCAGTCATAGATATTACCTTAGAGTGACTCTATGATTGAGGTTTTGCTGTTTATATTTCCTGTTCTCCATTATTTTATTACAAGTTACGGTTTTGCTCGATTTCGAGCAACAGGTTATCTAGTAAACATTATTTTAATGTATTAATTCAAAATAGTGTACATGTTGCTCGAAATCGAGCAATTGCAAAAAATTAAAGTATTTACAGTATTTAAAAACAAATAACTTATTTAAAAACGAATAAAGGTCATAATTTCCGATGAGTTTAAAATACTCAACTCATAGATTACGTACCTAACAGTTCCATATAATCAACATTTGTTGTCAATATTTGATAATTTTTCAAAAGCTGATCTGGTTTTTTTAGTGTATTCTACAAATCTTTCCCACTTAGGTATTAGGTATTAGGTTGTCCATGTTGATCTTCGTCAATGATAATGTAGTCTGCATAGTACTAACCGTTGTTGCCAGTACGTTTAAAAATTTCAGTCATTTTTTATACGACGACACCAATTTTTTGAGTGTTCATTCCAACTTTTATGATCTCATGTCAGTAACTGAGCTCACAATTGATTCAGCTTATATGTGGTTTAATGCTAATAGCCTTTGTCTTAATAAGAATAAAACTCAAAATCTATTGTGTAGTCTAAAAAACATTTCAGTAGAGTCACAGGATGTAAACAATGAAAATGTAATTACAGTTCTAGGAATAAAAATTGATAACTGTTTAAGCTGGTCTCCTCAGATAGATTTAGAAGATAGAACTCAATAGATAGAACTCACCGTCAAGCGATGGTTCGATCAAAATAAACTTACAGTCAACATATCTAAAACTAAGTATATGCCAATCTCCCTCAGAGCTGACTACGACCCTAGAAACCTAGAATTAAAATAACATAGTTGTGGCGCTGGGAATGTATGTGACAGGTGTGAAAGTATCGAATGTGTCAGTGAGTTTAAATATTTAGGAGTGATTTTTGATCGACGCTTAAAATGGTCTGGCCACATTAATCTAATCAGAACTAAACTACGTAAATTTATTTTTGTTTTTGCAAATTTATCAAATCTTTTACTAATTGAATTGTTAAAGAATGTGTATTATGCTTATGTACAATCTGTCTTGCAGTATGGTAATCTGGCCTGGGGTGGTGGATACAAAAGTATACTTGCACCAATAGAAATTATTCAAAAGAGAATCATCAAAATTGCCCTCCGCAAGCCTATTCACTATCCCTCTGATTCTGTTTACGACGAGTTCAAAGTACTCAACATTCATCAACTATATACCAGATCTTTACTAATATATATTTTTTTAAATAAGCAATATATTTTTTCCTGACCAACTCACAGCTATCCAACTAGATTTTCAGTTAATATTGGTATCCAATTTCCAAAAGTAAATAAATTGATCAATAAAACTTCTCCACGATACATTGCAAAAATAATGTTCTCGAAATTACCTAATAGTTTAAAGTATCCCGAACCTTGCAGTTTGCAAACATTTAAAAATCTAGTAGACAAATGGTTACAGTAGTGGAAACAGGCCGTGGCCAGATTGATCGTTATCTTGTGTCATTGTATTCGTAGGGTGCGTGTGCGTGTGCGTGTGTCGTCGATGATGTGTTTGTGTGTGTGAGGGGGAGAGAGAGTGACTGAGTGAGAGAGTTGCATGAGAGAGAGAGAGAGAGAGAGAGAGACGGAGAGAGAGAGAGAGAGAGAGAGAGAGAGAGAGAGAGAGAGAGAGAGAGAGAGAGAGAGAGAGGGGGAGAGAGAGAGAGAGAGAGAGAGAGAGAGAGAGAGAGAGAGAGAGTGAGTCGGCTCGCCGCTGGCCCACAGGGACAAAGCAGTGACGGCCCTTTGGGGCTACCAGCCGCCTGTACCTGTAGTGAGTCGTTGCATGGGTGTTTGGCGTGTACGTGTGGGTGTTGGTGTGTGTGTGTGGGTGTTGTGCGTGCATGTGGGTAGAAGTTGTATGAATGGTTTCCAAGTCCCAGTGATTTTTGACAGTATTATCTAAATCCCTTTTTACTGGTTTTTTATAATTAATTTTATTATTATTACTTTCCCTTTTTTACACCTTTTAGTTATTTCCATAATATTTAAGTTATCTGCTGTGGCTTCCCAGTAAAATTGTTTTTTCCCTTTTTGTAAATTAGATTATAGATTATGTTAGATTATAGATTGTAGAATATGGATGACTGATTAACTCGTTTCCCCACGCACAGGCTTTGCCTATGTGGGGAGGATCCATTTTTGTTAGAATTACTGTTGTATATTTTGATTCATGGAATAAATTATGTTTGAATTTGAATTTGAATTTGGTTTGTGCAAGATTGTCCAGAGTAATCTGTTTGCTTAGAAATCTTATGGGTGTTGTACCTGAAATCCACATAAGGGTAGCCTAGCCTACTTTGCATTTTTCCAATCCATAATTAGCTACGGCTTGATTCTTTGGGGAAATAGTAGTCAAGTGTTAATACTCCAGAAGAAGGTAGTTAGAATAATAAACAAAGCTCTAATTGAAGAGCATTGC